TGTGGTTTGTCCATTAAAATGCTCCACCACGGTTGCAAGCAAGATGGTTGATCCTGTTGTCTCCCAGTGCTCAAACCCATGGAAAACCACTGTCCTGCAGTCTCCTCACAAATAGCAGCTGTCCAGACCACACCTGGGCAATCTCCTGTCCTCTCCTTAGCCAGAGAGGTTCCATGGAACCGGTCTACTCAGCGGTTCCGTGGTCTTTGCCATGGTTGTTGGCTCCGCTTTCACAGAGCTGTCTTTGGTTCACCATACCTCCCCCAGAAGTCCCCTCCATGGGGAATTTTCCTGGCACTCTTCAGGATCTATCTGAAACAATAATACTGATTATTTTAACCAGTCTTCCACCCATTCAGAGGTTCATGCTGGCTGTCATTCCCAAACAAACCAGGGAATGATCTGTTCATGACCATAAAGTCACAAAGAGCTCCTCTACTTTCAGATCACCAACAAGGGGAAAACCAAATACAACCAGGGTACAGCCAGATATCAGCTGGGTCACAGATCCACAGTCATCATTGAGGACATGAAGTCCCATGCCACTCCTGACTGGGGAGGCTTTGTGGATGTTGCAGGCCTCTGGTCAGTGAGATGGAATCTGTGTAAGCTATGGCTATCCTACCTCCCCTCCCTCTGGTCCTACTCTGCTCTACTACAGAGCATCCTGGGGAACAAAGCTGGGATAGATGAAGTCCTCCATTGCTGCCACTCAGGTCTCTGTGATAAATACCAGGCCAGCACTTTCATTCTGCTTCATAGAAGTGTTACCAGCTTCCAAGGGGTCATGGAAGAACAGGGCATTTGAGGTTTGAAAGGGCCACCACCATTGCTGCCAGCTTGACTCTCTTGGTGGGAGGCCACCCACCAGTTGTACCCTTTCTTTTCCTTAGGTGCAGCCTCTCATCCTATCTCCCCTTCCCTACTTCTCTGATGCATCTCTTAACAGCAGTTCTTAACCCTAAACAACCCACATCCATGTAGGAAATAAAAGTGAGGTTCCCCAAGAGTGAAGGTCTAAGAGTCCTTTTTTTTGCGAGTTGCCTCTTCATGGCAAGCCTGCCAGGGGCTACTTCAACTCTCCTTTCAAGCCCAAGGCAGCTACTGGAATCCTGGGCAAAGGGTTTCTGTGTCTAAGGCCTGCTCCTGCAAGGAAGGTCTTTTGCACAGGGAGTAAAGCAAAGCAGGCGCAGAGGGTGGTGGCATGCTTCCTTCTCTTTTGCCATTTGCCTTGGGTAAAGCAATGGTGGTCCTGTCGATCTCTACTCGTAGCGGAACAGAGAGAAAGCGGAAAGTCAGTATAGTGAATGCAAGATGGAAGTGAAGTGTTCAGTGCAAAAGTTTTAGGCAGGTGTGAAAAAGTGCTGTAAAGTAAGAATGCTTTCAAAAATATGTATTGTATTTGTTTATGTTTAACAATTTACAAAATGCAAAGTAAGCAAACAGAAGAAAAACCCAAATCAAATCAATATTTGGTGTGACCACCCTTTGCCT